TTTTTTTTTTTTTTTTTTTTTTTTTTGGCACTGGCAATCGAAGTCCAGACCTTTAGCTTGCAAGGCAGGTGGTGGAACCACTGAGTTCAATGCTCAGTCCCTGGCCCTATGTTAGCATTTTTAGTCTTTTATTTTGTTTCAGATACCTCATTTTGAATAGCTTGCTTTAGAAAAACTTCACAGAATGGTGGAGACAGTCAACCATGGAGGCCTTCCATTTTCTATTTTATCTGTAGTTTTCAGTGTCAGACAGCAACATTTTACATTAGAAATTTGCTGAAAATATTTCAATATGGAGTTGATCAGAATGCATATTCTAACTTTAGGTAGATATGTAGCTGTATAAATAGTTTCAGGAAATCTCATGCTTTATATTTCTAAAGTTGACTGTGGTTTTTGTTTTGTATTATTTTTGCAGGAGCTAGGAAAGTATGGAGTGCTGTTCTACAATGCTTGCTTCATGATTATCCCCACTTTTATTATTAGTGTCTCCACTGGAGACTTCCAACAGGTGAGCCGGTGATGATCACTGGAGTCTTACTTAGTCAACTTTTGCAACTTTATTTGATTTTTTATAGCAAAACCTTTACTGGTACATTTTGGGCATATATAGTGATAACACTCAACACAGGGAATTTGCACCTGTATGTGATATATCCTGCTTCTTTTTAACAATTTTAATATTTGGCGTTTGGTACTACTGCAATTAAATGTTTAAAGGTAGCCAGGCTTACCACCAGGAGGGTAATAAAAACAAGATGCTTGAGAACCTGGTTCACCTGTGGCCCAGGATGCTCAGGACAATGAGGGAAGAGCACCTCTTGAACCTAGGAATTCAGGGCCAACCTGGGCCACATGGTAAGACCCTGTCTCAAAAATCCAGTTTGATAACCTTAGTCATCCTTTGGTACTATCCTTGTGTTAATATTTTTCTTTAGACAACTGGGGAGTAGCAACAGAACTTGGAATTTGAAACTTTTTGGAAAACAATTAAAATCCGAGCTTGAGTACCACTATCCACTGCCCTTTTTCTTTACTGGGAATTGGATGTAGGCTCTCAACACTGAGCCATATCCCTGACCTTTTACATTTTTTTTTTTTTTTTAAATGTGGAGACAGGGTCTCACTAAGTTGTGTAGTTGCCCAGGTGGGACTTGAGCTTGTGAATCTCCACTATACCTGGCTCCCACTCTCCATTTTTGTTTTGTTTTGTTTTGTGTTTTTTGGTACCGGGGATCAATCTTTGGCCCTTGCGAAGCAGGTAGTGGAACCACTGAGCCAAATCCCTAGCCCCCACTTTCCATTTTTGCTGATGTGGAGACCGTGGCAAAGCTACATTCCTTTGAAGGAAATGTGAATAGTTTTCAAAAGGGTTTATGTACTTACTTTTGTGTTTGTGGTACTGGGGATTGAACCCAGGGCCTTTGCACTAGGATATATCCCTAGATCTTTTAAAATTTTTTTCTTTTGAGACATTTCTCACTAAGTTAGTATGTTGCCTAGGCTGGACTTGAACTTGTAGTTCTCCTGCCCTAGGCTTCAAGAGTGCTGGAATTATAGGTGTGCACCACCATGACCCTGTAGTTGCTTCATTTTTATATTTATTACTGAGAATAAAAATCTAGAAATTTTTATAAGTTCTTGTAAGTCCTATTTGGGAATGAAACATATCTCCTCATAGGAACAATGTGATGAATAATGTAGTGGCCAGAAACAGGATTTTAGGCATCTTACCAGTAAAACAGAATAGGCATATGATGTTCATAACTTACAATAGTGTTTCTGTAGTACTATGTGTTCTCACATCTGAGTCATTGATTTACAAACTTATGCAAGGTGTTTCTGGAAGTTGCTTCTGCCTGCCGTGATCACCGTGATGCTAAGATTCATGGAAGATGTTTTCGAAGTATTATTTGTTACTGTATTCTCACACTGACCCTCAGAAGAGCATTATTGTCATTTTACATGAATAGAATTCAGGGCTCAGAGTTTAAGAAACTTCCTGAGTTCAGCAGGTGATAGAAACACATCCTGCTATAATGTAAACCATTATATTTGTGTGTGAAAAGTGTTTCCTTCCCTCACTTGTGAAAAACTATAATCTAACTCTTGCATTTTACAAAAGGAGGCCTAACATATACAAACAATCCTCATCTTTTTAAAAAAAACTTCATTTCATGTATTTTATTACTTGTCTCTTTTGAGACATGATCTTGCTATATTACCCAGGCTGTTGTTAAACTCCTGGACTCAAGTGATTCTCCTGCCTCTGTTTCCCAAGAAGCTGAGACTACAGGAACGTGCTACCACACCCATCTGGGCTTCATCTTAATAACATGGTTTGACTTCACATTTTTTGTAGTTTACTGTGGTATGAAGATGATGTTTATTCAATAGAAGTCATATTGCAAATTGTACGTAGTGTTCTTCTTGCCCCTAGCTTTAAACGGGGGTGAGGAGCAGTTTCAATACATATAAAATACTTTGGTCAACTTTTATGCTGGTGATTCCATTTTAGATTTTGCATCAAATACAACATAAAGAAGTGACTTCATGTATGCAAAGTAACATCTTGTTTGCCAAGATTGGTTTTGTTGTGAACTATGATTGGTGAAATAGAGCAAGATGCTTACTCCTTTTGCTCTTGGAAGGATAAATTGAATGCATCCTTTTCTCTGGCTGACTGATGACTGGGTGTGGGAGAGAGGGACTGGACCAGAGGCCACAGTGATGTATGTGTGACCCACTGCTGTGCAAAGTCCATCCTGACTCTGGATTTACACAGTTGCTGCATCTGTTAACAGGACCTTGATTCTACTGTTGATCAACAGTAAGAGATGACAGCTCCTTTTGTTGTCAAATCAGGCCCTTGGAAAATAGTCTAAAGTGAACTTTGTTTAGTCACATGATTCTCTGGAATGGTCCAGAGTCCATCTGGTGTTTCATAGCTGATAAATAGGGATTAAAAAAATAGGGCTTTGTTTTTACTTGGTTGAAAAATAAACCCAAAGTGCAAAATGAAAACAATTCACATTTCCACATACTTTAACAGAAATAGTAAGTCTAAAAGAAGTACTTTATTGTTATTAATCTTTAATTACTGCCTATTTTAAAATAAATATCCTGCTGCATCGTTTCCACAACTGCCACCTGCCTAACCTCATTATTATTAAAGCCATAATATAAACTAAAATCTATAAAAACTTAGGTTGGAGAAGAATCTGCATATTTTAATAAAAATTACTAAATAACTCTGTTTTTGTGGTATCAGGAGTACATAGTTTGTATTTACTGTTTGCATAAATACTTCTAGCTCTTTGAGAAAATTTTGTTTTTCCTCTTGGTTTGAAGTTTGGGGGTTATTTTTTTCCTTTATTTTGAGATAATAAGTGTTTTCCATAATTTTATTATTTTGCATATTATTATTTTGTGTTGTTTTGGTCTTTTAATGCTTTTGACATCATCTTTTTGCCTTTAATTCTCTGGGATATTTTCAACTCCCTCAGTCAGCTTGGGGCTTCCTAGTAAAACATTAAAATTATGATTTTTTTTCTTTTATAAGTAAGCATTGTGTGTGTGTGTGTGTATCTGTGTGTATGTATGTGTGTGTGCTAAACATGAATTTAGCCCAGCCAGAGAAGTAAGCATGTAAAAAATTATTTTATGGTGGAAGCTTTCAAACATATAAAAAGCATAGAGAATAGTACAATCCATGAGTCCCTCAACTAGTTTCAACTGTCATCAACCTTTAATGTATATCATTTTGATAGAAGTAGGCAAAATATTATTGATGAATCAATGTCAGCAAAATGTGACAAGGCTCTACTAAGTAGAAAATTCCATTTCAATTGTTTAAAAATTGAATTATGAACCTAAAATGTTGTAAACAGTTCTAAATATATAGAGTTGGTAAACTTGAACAGAACTTTGATATGATCTTTTTTGTTGTTGTTTTCGACACACGGTCTCACTACATAGCCCAGGCTGGCCTTGTACTTGCAGTGTTCCTCTTGCCTCACCCTTCTGAGTCTTGGGATTATAGGTATACAGAACCATCCCTGGCTCCCAATCATGTTATTGAGTCATCTTGAAATTGTTTTTTGGGGCAGGGATGGGACACATGAAAAATATTTGTTTTCATTGTGTCCTGCCATTTCAAGAGGGTTAAGTTTATTTTCTCAGTAACGTATTAAATTCCTGGGAAGCAGAAACCTTAAACTTCTCTGTCTACCATCTTTTCTACCTTAATTACTTGATTGCTTTGTAGTAATTTATAGTTTATTTTCTATGATGCAAGTTCTTTTTTTTTTGGTACAGGGGAGCAAACTCCGGTCTTTGAGCTTGCAAGGCGGCACCACTGAGCTAAATCCCCAGCCCTATGATGCAAGTTCTTGAAAACAGTTTAGGAATTTGAACTTTTCTTGCTAATGTTGTTAATTTGGTAATAAACTCTTTTCAAAGATTATTTATAAAAAGTAATTCAAATCCTGATTTCATTATTACAAATTACCAAATATTTGTAAGGTAAATAGTATCTTCATTAACAACAGCTATAATTTTATACTGGCCACCATTGAAGTTGAATTTCATTCAGTCCTCACATCAGCCTTTCAAGGAAGCTGTTGTTATTTTGTTTTTTTGTTTGGTACTGGGGATTGAACTCGGGTCCTTGCACTTTTGAAGCAGGTGGTGGCACCACTGAACTAAATTCCTTGCCCATTGTTGTTGTTTTTAATAAAACCCATTTTGTAAGGTGAAGGTGCGGTTCAAGGAGGGATAGTACTTTGACCAATCTCTGGTCTAGGATTTTTAAAATTGGATTAGGGAAGGTGGTTCCTGCAGCAAAACACAGTTAGGTCAAAGCAAAATGTCATTTATCTAATCATTAGTTTCTTTTCTTTTTAATAATAGGCAACTGAATTTAACCAGTGGAAGAATATCCTATTTATCATGCAGTTTCTTCTTTCCTGTTTTTTGGGGTAAGAAACCATAGAAAGTAGAAGTGTCAGTCCATGGTATCTCCTGATAAGTCAAATCTAAATATGCCATCTGCCAGTTTTGCTTTGTCAAATCCCTTTGGTTTTTCTCTGGAAATTACATTATTCTCCATGGGGCTCTACATTTGCAGATTCAACCAAATGTGAATAGAAAATACTTGAAAACAAATCGTGCCTGTATTGAACATGTATGGACCTTTTCCTTGTGTTTCACCGAAATAGGCAGACCTTTTAGAGCATTCAATAACAACGAAGAGCATGCTGCAACATGCATGCCACATTTCACCACCACTATCCCAAATAACTCAGCACAATAATTATCTATGAAGTATTCACATTGTCTTAAGTCTTCTAGGAAATGTAGAGATGATTTAAAGTCCATAAGCGGGTGGATAGGGGTAGGTTGCATTGAAAATCCTATATAATTTTATATAAGGAACTCAAGCTACTGAAGACTTGGGTATCAATGGGGGTCTGGAGCCAATGCCCTGGAGAGATGAGAGGGACACTGTCCGCTTGCAGCAGGGCTGTTACCTGGGACCCAGAACACTAGGGAACAAGCACTAATGTCACATTCTACTGCAAAATATGACACTGCCATTGGTTCCTGAAGATTTGTCTGGAATGAAGTCAGTGTGCCTCTTTCAGTATAGTATTTTAACCATGTCATTCATTTTCCAAGATTCTCACACAAATATGCAGCAGTGATAACCTTTTCCTGGAGTGCTATACCTGTGACATACAGGCAGATGTCTGAGGAGAGATGTTCAGTTGTCCGACAATTAGGTTTTTATTGTTGAAATCTTCTTTAAGGGTATTTTCCTGTTGAGAGGCCATGTGTCCTTTTTAATCTTCTGGAAATTGAAAATTCCTTTGCATGAATAGGTGATACATGCAACTAGTTAGTGTTTCAAAAGATGCAAAAGAATAAGTAGGAAACACCAGCCACCTCCCTTCTTCTCTGCCTGTAGCACTGCAGTTTTCCCCCTAGAATACACCTCTCATTGTTAGAAGTCTTGAAGATGTCCCTCCTGAGCTGGGCAGCCTTGGTATTTATGCACACTGAAAGGGTCTTTGGATCACTGTGTCATGGGATTACTCCTCAGAACATGTTTTTCCTGTGAGAAAGGTGAATATGTCCCTTATTTTTAATTTTTACACAGTAACTACAGTTTGCATTATGCTTAAATGAACTAAGACAATTAAATGGTTTCTTGGATCAACACTTTGTTTAACTTGATAGTATCTGCTGTGTTGTAGTCACATTAATTCTCCCTTTAGCTATCTGATTTAATGTTTATTCTGTTATTGGAGATATAACTGTTTTATATTTCCTCTAAAAGAGTTCCACAGCTTTTTCCCTCATACTTGTTTCTTCATTCCCACCATTCTTTCTGTACTTTGTGACTGTACTTTTAAATTTTTAAAATTGTTACATGTATATCTATTCTAGATTTTGTATCTGATGATTCCAGAAGTATGGGATTTGTTGATTCACCTGTCATTGTGCTTGACTTTCTTGTGTGTTTGGTGACCTGTGATTGTTAGCATATTGTTTAATGTTAATCACTCCCATGGTCTAAAATTGGAGATTTGAGAAACTTCCCTGCAGGAACAGAGTGTTTTTGCTTCTGCTTATAGTCAGGTATTGCCTTCGACCTGGTCTGCATCAGGTCTTGTTAAGGGTCTGGTTCATGTCCCTCCCCACCGGGAGTTTGGTCCAAGGCTCAGGTTCCAAATGGTGCTGTCCTCCATTGTTTCCTCCCTGAGACAGTCTCGCCCTGTTCTGATTCCCTGCTGTACAGTGGAGAGGGGAGTGGCTTCTCGTGTTTCTTTCCTGACAGCAACATCTCAAATAATGTGTCCTTTCCAGGAATGGGTCATTCAGTGGCTGGGTTCCTTAGGGTAGGAAGCATGAGTTTAGTGAAATATTTATAGTTTTCCCAATTTTTTTTTTTGGTACCGAGGATTGAACTTGGGTCCTTGCACTTGTGAGTCAGGCAGCTGCAACACTGAGCTAAATCCCTGGCCCTAGTTTTCCCATTTTTTTTCTTTTTAATTGAGTTTATTGGTACATTTTAGGGATACAGTATAGTTACATTCATTGTTAGGATCTTGTACCTACATGACAGTTCTTTCCTGACAGCAACATCTCAAATAATGTGTCCTTTCCAGGAATGGGTCATTCAGTGGCTGGGTTCCTTAGGGTAGGAAGCATGAGTTTAGTGAAATATTTATAGTTTTCCCAATTTTTTTTTTTGGTACCGAGGATTGAACTTGGGTCCTTGCACTTGTGAGTCAGGCAGCTGCAACACTGAGCTAAATCCCTGGCCCTAGTTTTCCCATTTTTTTTCTTTTTAATTGAGTTTATTGGTACATTTTAGGGATACAGTATAGTTACATTCATTGTTAGGATCTTGTACCTCTACATGACAGGTCTTGGTTCTCATTTTTTCCACTTGTCCCTGCGGTTGTTGGTTGAGAGCACTTAACCTTGAAAGAATCTAAGCTGCATTTATGAGTCACTCTTTGTCCAGCTCCTCCTATTAAGAAAAACACCCCACAGCATGAAAGCTCAGATCAGCTCCCTTCCCTGACTAAGCAGTGCTATAGTCTTTTCTTATGCTGTGATAACGTGGCAAGGGGCTGATATTGTTTGCCTTGCTTTTTCCTATTTAATCATTGTGTAAAGGAAATCAAGAAGCAAATCCTCTAAAATCTGCAGCCTTGTTACAAGGGAAGTGTGTGTGTGGGGTGTGCACCACCCTGCAACTAAGTGGGGATTGTAAACTCATATAAATAAAGAATTAGAAATGCAAGTTTAGAAGGGAGAACAAAAACACTTTATCTGAAAGAAGAAAGAAAACAGAGGTGAGAGAGCTATCTTGTGAGAAGGCAGAGGACTTGGACCCAGATATGTGAGGACCTTTGTCCTCAATCTCTTATTAGTGTGGCAAAAGACTCTACCCCTTGGAGTTTGTTGTGACCTGATTGGCTATTTCAAACCCTAGGACCATTCATCCTCTATGTTCAAATTCCTAGGTGAGGTCTTCTTTGTCCTGTCAATATCTTTATAATTTGTGGGTTTGTTAAAAAGGACTTTACATACAAGGTCCAGTTAGCAATTAAGTAAAGGGGATACTATACGTTTA